ATCGAAAAAATATTATAAAAATTGTCCACATTTGCACCGGTGGTGCCACATAGGCCAACCGATATCCACGTGCTGGAAGGACTGAATTGACACTATATCAAAAGCTTTAGGATTAATCTGTACAAAAAAAAGTTTATAACTAAATTGGCATCAATGCAATAGATTTAAGACTTCTCTGACACTTTTCCCCTTAATTTTTTGTCCATGCTTGATTAATGTGTCGAAATAGCCTGATAACATCTTGTCTGTTCAAGAATTTTACTATATGTTTCTCCAACCTATCGATATCTTTTCCATTCCCTATTTTCCCTCATTTAAATCATCCAGAAGAAAAGCCAACAAATGGCAATGCAACTTCAAGAAAATCGGCTTAGCCTTCGGAAAACATTTCGAATGGACACAGAAGGAAGGCGAAAGGAAATTCATACGGACAGCTAACACATTACGCCTCATTAGTTGGACAACGTGAAAAAAAGATGCAGCAAAGCCAAGCACGTCTCTTCCACGAGGGTGTTCGATTTTAAAAACCGCATTGTCATCCGGTGGTTCAGAACTCGACGGAATCGAGGTTCCATCTGTTGACCGGAAATAATTTATTGTGTAGTACCCAAAAGCACGATAAGCCATGGAACTCACAGAGACCACAAAAACCAAGGCTGGTTCAGTCTCTTTCCGTATAGAAGCTCCTGGACTCAAAACGTGGGTCGGAGAGAGAGAGATCTGAGTGAATTGCATGTTAGGTGATGAATGGCATTCGTCTGATGGTGAAGTCACAAGAGCTTGCAGATCAATTCATGCTCATTCTTTTGTGGCAACGTGTTCGCTTGGAAATTCAGTAGGTGGTTCACTGAGATCTGCTTTGTTAGGTTGTGCGGACTCCTTGACAAGACTCAACCAACGAGATTTCCCCGTCTTGCGTGTTTTTTTTTTTTCACCATTTAAATTTGTTCAATAAAATTAGGGCCCTCCTCCTTAAAAACATGCAAGACTTTAAGCTAATTCCAAGGCAATTTATGACCGGACCAACATAAATGCAATTTATATGGGTATATTATAATTATATTAAAATACTCCTAGTGCCTATAATGCAAATGCCAATCACGATAATGATATTTTTATTTAGAAGTAGGGGTGAACTCATAATTTTGTTATGCAATAAATGATTAAATATGATAGATGAAATTTAAGTGTTACCAACACTTTATACGATTCTAACCACCAAAGTGCAAATTCCACATAAAATAACATACACAGCCCACAGCAGGACAAGTGGTCAACACAAAAGCAACTATGAGAATGGCATGCTCAGGTATTCTCTACATGTTCACAGAAATGGGTACTCTCGCCCTAAAACTCTTGTCTTCAGCATGGAGCGTTGTGCCTCTGCCACGTGACGCATGAAAGGTGCAGAAGTCGATGACAAAATTGTACCCAACAATGCCAATGATCTCCCTGCAATGATACTGCGCCAGACGCATCCATTAATTACAAATGGACATCCTCCTCCAGTGATGTCTGAGGCACAAAGGACTGGCAAGTGTGTATCTCCATACATGGTTGGAAGTCTTGTCAATCACACATACAGTCTCATTTCGACTGATAATTTTGTCGTGGCATCATGCTCCCTGCTTCGCCAATTAGTTTTTTCGCCATGCTGGACACACATCAAAATAAAAAAGTCACATATCACTGCATTTCATGCAAATTAATATGGAACTTAAAAACATAACCCAACTTACAATGTTCGTGCAATCCACAAACCAAAATTGACAGTTCTGCTGATATCTTCATACAAAATGTCCATAAATCTATCAGCTTCATATTTAAGCAATTAACGTGTAACACTAACAAACTGAGATGATCGCTAATCTTCTTACGAGCCAATATAGCAATGTTATAAGTATGGAGAAAAATTAAAGAACCAAGATTGGATTAGAGAAGCTCAACACTAGCATTATCATCGAACAACACCCAAATCCTCCCTAAAGAAACATTTCCCTACTTATTTATAACAAGACCTCATGAGAGGACGAAATGCAATATGCGTGTGATGTATTTGCTTAATTACTTTACTTGTGTTAACAATAGTGCTTTCGGATCAAGTATTTTTGTAAGACAAACCTCCTCCCTGGATAGGAAATATTTTTAACTCAAAGATTAAGGTTTAAAAAAATCAAAACAATTAGGGTATTGATATAGAAAAAGTGTGGAAAAGTTTCTTTAGTGAGGATTTGGGTGTTGTGCGATGACAGTACCGCTTGAGCTTCTCTATTTCTCTATTTCTACGTTTCTTTACCGTTCTCCCCTCAACATTTACAAGCCATTTATGAAGCTATATGTCTGCCAGTCCTTGTACTTTATTTTATTTATTTATTGATGGATTTAATTTTTGTTACTTGAGCACTTAAGCCTGGATACTTAGATGCAGTGAGGGTGTAAAATTGAAAAGATCACATGCAAAGCTTATTTATAAAAGAGAAAATTTACCAATAACAGGCATTTGACTTTCTAGCGTGATTAGGTCCCCAAACTCACAAATCTCTAGTTCCAGAAGTAAAATGAGTTCCTAATTTCTCTCAGGTGTCTAACTGGCCTATAACAGTTTAGTGACAACCCTTAAGTTTACTATCAAACGAATAATTGAGTTAGAAAACCAAATTGGGACTGACATGGCTTAGGAGGGCTCGTGTTAAGTATAAATGCCAGTTCGTAAGAAGATCATTCATGCTTCCTCAGTAATATGTTAAAGTCCCCTAGGTTCATCTTGGGAGGTTACGACAATATTTACATAAAACATGTCTTAGAATGACATGTGGTGAAAATGGATACCAATAGGCACACATTATAGATCACACATGTGTGTGCACCTATATATCATGATGTTTTTTTAATAATCCAACGGCATGAGTGCAAAAGCTTAACTACCTGAAAGTTCATAAAATACTCTGTAAGCCTTACAAATCTGCTAAGTCTAGACTTTTGGCCCATGCAGGTAGCCCTGAAATAGAGCTTTGCACGTAGTTAATAAGATTGGAAAAAGTGACCCCCTATCAATGAATTGAAAATCCCTTGACGTCCCAACCACCAAGGCTAATCCTGGATAGTTTGTATATTAAGATCCTGAACCTATATGAAATGTACAACATCTGGTTCGAGTTCCATCCTATATGATGGAGATCAATCTACCCCTAAAAGCCCGGATGTGGCTTTCCTATTTAGTGGTTTGGACGCATGGCTCTGGATCGGGACGTTCTATATCATGAATATACGTTCAAAATTTAACTATCTAAGAGAAGGATACATGAGTATAAAAATAGAATTTCAATGATTAATTCTATGTTTGTTAGGAGAGATTGGAAGGGAAGAGAAATGGTTCTAAAGATACAAGCGTGTTTGGATGAAAAAAAACTAATTGAGGAAAAAGATTAGGAGGGATTGATATCGCCAATTTATTTTGAATCGCTCAGAAACTTTCTAATACGGAGGAATTTGGAGGAATTTGTGTATTAATAAATAATTTATTCTTCTTTTTCTCTTATACCATCTCACATTTATTTATAAGCACATAAAAATATATCTATGTCACAATGCATTCTTTTCCTTTCCTAACATCCAAACAACATTATAACTCAATTCCTTCAAATCCAATTCCTCATAATTATTTTAAAGGGTTTTGCTAGCATAATAGTTTTCTGGCCACTGTGAAAGTAACATCATATTGTGAGTAAAAAATTCTTGAAGGAATGGAACCACAACAATTTATGATTATTTGTTACTATTTTTTTTTTTGGCCCCGAAGAGGCCATTAATCTTATAGTGTATTAAGGACGGTCACTTAGGGTACATTGTTCGCGGAAAATAAATTATTTGGAAATTATTTTTCTAAAAATGATCGCATTTATCGCTTACAAAAATGAATCAACGAAAAATATTTTCGGCGTCAACGAAAATGGTTAAACATAAATTGTGGTCAATAATGAAATTGTTTTTCCTTTTACTAACCAATTTAAGCGATATAAGCGTCAATTTTAAGAAAAATATTTTTCAAACTATTCATTTTTCGCGAATCATACAAACCTTAATCATTTCTCTTTTTTAAATTCTTTCTTTTCCTTTCTAATCACTCCATCCAAACTGGGTGTAAGATAGTTTCCTTTCTTTATTGTTTCCTTTTCTTTTCGTTTTTCTTTCCCCTTTTCCCCTCCTTCCTTCTCTGTGTGCGGCCGTCAACGTTGCTTGCCCTCCGTTGCCGCCTGTGGTTGCTGTCACCTTTCACTATTGCCACCGCTATCTGCACCGCCCTCACTTACCGCCTGTTTCTCTCTCTCTCTCTCTCTCTCTCTCTCTCTCTCTCTCTCTCTCTCTCTCTCTCTGTAAAGTTGAGGGTCGTGACATCAGATCGAAGGTCCACTAGCCTGAAGCTACCCAGGTCAGAGGTTGGTGACCTCCTGGAGGCGTGGACTTCCAATATAATCATGCATCCCGTGAATACGCTAGCTTTGCCCTTTTCAGTTTTCAGACCCCGGTCTCTGAATTTCGTATATCGTTTTCTCTGCTACGTATATGGGATTTCGTCATAGGGACTTCAAGTGGTTTGGATTTCAAGAGACATTGGTACATGGAGTGAATCATGAGATACAATAGACAACAAGAGTATAAAATGATTCTTGTTCCCTGTAAAAGGGAGACAGACATGTCTTGCAACAGCGGATGGTGTTTTGCATGTGCAGATTCTTGCTGGTCGTGCTGCGTAAAGACCTGCACTAATTGGAGCCCGACCATGGATATTAAATCGAAACCCTAGTCGAACTCTCCTTTGCAAGATTTGAAAGATTATCCATAAGACTGAAGATAATCGCGGCCCTTGACGTAATTTCCCATCGTTTTGTTTACTTGTGAGCCCTGTAGGAAGTTTCCATCAGACAAAGATGCATAGTCCGACGTATGCATGGTCTTAAACAATCACGTAGTTGACACCTCATTGACGACGATTCTTTCCATTTTCCAACAACTTGACAGTGGTCCTGATTTTCTTATTAAACATATTGAACACACGGACACACGCGCACACACCAGCCCAGCAGCCCCCCCAAATTGTCATTCCCAACCACCTGAATATGCACAGCCTTCCTCATATGGCGAGCAAAAGCCCCGGCAACGACCGGTCCAAGAGGTCCCTCGGGTGGCTCTGCCACAGCATATGGCTTGCCCGAGCCACCTCCCACCGCGGCGACGACACTTCTCTCACGGTGAGCCACGTGTTGAAATACTCCTTGAACTGCGTGATCAGCCCGTTCTTCAGCGTCCAAACATGGACCCAATATGCCTGCGCCCCTTCCCACCCCTCCGCGATCAAACATTCGTCCCCTATAGCCGTTATGCTACGTGGACGGAATGTAAACTCGGAGTAGTCCGATTCCCCCGTGAGCACCCGCATCATGTGCTGGCAACGGGGCGGCCCATGGAACCACCATTCGAGATCGCTGGCCAGGAGCTTGGCTACCACGGTGGAGTCACCGAGAGCCAATGCGGCGTAAAGGGCCTCGACGGTTGCTTTGTTTTTGTGGGATTCCGGCACGGTAGATTCAAAGTCATTGGTTGCCATTTCTGGGTATAAATGGAGGAATGTAATGCAATAGGGAATGGTCTATAAGCTAAAAGATCAGCGGGATTTTGTATGGAATGTGGCTTGCTTTCTTTCTTGTGGGTGTTGGTCTTGGTATTGCACTATAGGCCTAGGGGCGAACCTATTTATAGCATAAATTTGGGAGAGGAAGAGGAGATCAGGACCCACTCTGCTGATTAGTCAGAGATCAACGGTGGTGATTCGTGGTGGTGATGACGTGGAAGATCAGACGGTCACTTCTTGCTCCTAAGATGGGGAAGTCATTTGTGCCACACTAAATGCCAAGGAAGAACTCATGGCGCCCACAATAATACAACTTTAAATTCAATGCTCTTCTGGGGACAATCGATGGGGATAAGTACCGGAACCAGATGGATCTAAAAACCATAACCAAACATTTCTCCCAGAAAATGACCATTCTACCCCTTGAAGGGTTGATGGTTCCGGTCACACCTCAGTTCTCTCCCTTGTGGACAGAAAATTCAGTTTCGATTGGTTACTCCGAATTCATAAAGTAATTCATTAAATAAACCAGGAGTGAGCCAAAAATCAAGTGGGTAACTCTAAGATAGAATTGTTTATGGTTGGTGTAGTGTGAGAAGTCGAAATGTCATGGCTCTTGCGATGCGCATAATCCACCCACACAAGGTTTCGTGCTTAATCCCGGGCAATTCAAGGGAATATTATTATTGAGTGCACAAGGGTGCATATAATTCCGGTACATCTTGTAAATTTTTATGATATCACTGCTAACTATTTTAAAAATATAAGCTGTTAAATGAAGTTGCGATTTGATATTTTAATATTCACCCTCACGCGTAAGTTGGATTTTGGACTGAAACTGAGTGTGGAAATATATAACAAGGAAGTCAAATAAGGGGTTTTGAAATATTTGAATTCAAGATCTCTTGCTCGGTATTCTAACATATCTTAGCTCTTGGATCACATGGAATCCACCAAAATCAAAGGCTTATCATGCGTTAGACTCGCATGCATTCTCAGCATGGAGGAATTAGTCAAAAAGGTTTGGTCACTTGTCAATTTTCTTGTTCTTTTCTTTCCGAAGTGGCCATGCATAGACACGGGTAATATTATAGTTTCTATATACCTTTATTCCTCAGGTATCTACTCACACCATGTAAGGCCGCTTCGCAAGAGAGAAATCGAAATGGGGTGTTCCTATTTTTGTCCGAAGTGAACTTGATGATTTTGCATGCTCCCAAACTCGATGAGCGTGAAAAGAGAACATTCCACTCCACATCATATTGACAATTAAGTCTGTCCATTTCTTCAAAAGTTTTACTGAATGTAGAACCGATACAATGAAGGCGATTATCATGTGGGTATTCATGGAAAGTTTACATCGACAAAAAGTTGGTAGTGGATTTCTTTAGATTTGTTGTTCTTGGGATTTTCATCCAAGAAATTGACAACAATTGACCTTTATGATGATGACATTCATGACCAGGTTTTAAGTGTTCGTTTACCTCCACCACAAGAGTACTGGCTAGACGAATCGCCTGGAAGGACTAACCAAATATTTTCTGGTAAGTCTTGGCTTTATTAGAAGAATTGTTTCTCAGCGGCATTAAAAAAAATTGCTTGACCTGTCCTTTTTGGTCATTAGTCATGATAACCATCATTAGAAACTTATCTTAAATTAGGGATGCCACTTGGAATATATATTACAGTATTAGATGATGAATATGAATCAGCTATCCTACAAGTCTTAATTACATTGTCTTTTTGTTTTCTTTTGAGCTTCAGACCGCTTGACTAGTTTAAAGGGATAGTTCGAATTTCTTCTTAGTCGATGATTGAAGAAACAAAAGAAATCGAAAGGATTTTCATCTTATGTCTTAAATGAGCGGTTGTAGCAATATAGTATTGTACAAGATCCGATGATATGCTACTCAATCACTTGTTGTTGTCACTCTTTAGTTTTCTGTTGAGGTTTATCCTATGTAGAGGGACTTAAATTGGATCAGTGATTGAGTTCTAGGTTTCATCATGCTCGGCCTTTCCACCTGCTTCCAGAGAGATAAGCAGGGAACTACTAAGTACGAAGCTAGGCATGCCAAGAAGAGAGCTGGACAACGAAACTAGACAAGGGCAATTGCCAACCTCGACTCAATCGAATAACTCGGCCGTGTAGATAGGTCAACTCAAATAATCAGTTTCCTAAATGGAATAAACTGAACTGGAAGATTCTTTTTAATATTAAAGATCTTGATATTGAGGTACTTGACTTGATGACGGTTGAAGTTGGGCCCGCTCAGATGAGCAATTGTGGTAGCAAAGGTCAAGGAGTGGCCGATGCTAATCACCCATTTTCACTCGCTTCTAACATAAGATGGGCAAGAATCCAAGGTAGTACATGCTCTAAACTTTGGTATAGTGCCGGCACCAAGTCCTCCTCATATCAACTCATCATGGAATCTCCTTGATCGAGTATAATAAGAATGGCAACAATGACGGCGAGTGTAGAACTCCTATGGTAACGGCTAAGAAGGTCTTCAAGCTGGTCAACACTTGCTACTCTTCTCTGCTAATATGAACAAAGGTACATTGACAAATGCTTCCTCACCCTAGATCTATTATCGATTGCTGATAAGCCGATCGTTTGTTTCAGCATCATCTTGGGTTTTCGAATGATTCTACTAAAATGAGCAACTTCAAAATTAGAAATTGGTTGTGAATGTACCATTTAGCTTAGTGCTAAAGCAACGATCTAGTATTTGAATTAGGGGCAAATCTAGTATTTAACGTTCCACACAATCACGTGCTAATCATCTCATGCTTGGGCCACTTTATGGGGACATTTTGCTCAGTTCATATGGAGATGGGTTAGCGGAGAAAGCGATCTTATATTAATCTTTAGATGTCAACATAAATATCACGAGCAATCTCGATTAACTGTAGGTTGCCGCTCTATTTTCATAATAAGATGACGTCAAGGAACCTACAACGTGAAAAAGGCGGTTATACATTCAGGACTGCTACACATGATTGCCTACGCCCGGAACGGTCAGACTCATTGCATGTTATCCATGATCACAAGGATTCCGTGCGGGACCTAGAACTTATATTCTTCGGGTTCACCCAATAATTATACCAGAACTCTAGAGCTAAAATAAAAATTGGTGAAGGAGATTATAGTCATTTGTATGATGCCAGCCTGGCAGTATCTTTGACTGCCCTGACTCTTTTTTTTTTATTAGTTTATTTGTTTCTGGCTAGCAACGTATGGAGGCTGTCCAAGGTCGATTTCAGCGTGCGCAATGCGCGTAGCACATGAATTTCCTAAAGTGACCCCCCCACAGTTCCAGACAGATAATAAGCATTAGCAAGTGTCACAGCTGCAATTGACATGACAATTGAACTTTTCAAGGGGTTGGCACGTGATTTGTGATCCCCTTCCATTACTTAGAAATGTCAACTAATGATTACATAGTCCCGACATCCCATTAATTTCCTTAAGACACTCTTCCAAGGTATAAGAACCGTAAAAGTAAAATCGATAATGAGACAGATGGTCTTTGAACTTTGGCTCAATATATAATATGATTCTTGAATTTTTAATTTGTTCAATGTTGCTCCTGAACTTTACCCTACCTTTCAATGTGGTTCCTGAACTTTTAATTTGTTCAATTTAGTCTTTGAACTTTTGATATATGTTCAATTTAGTGCATGAATTATATGAAAATGTTTAATATTATCCTTCCATTAATTCACGTTCAAGAACAACATTAAATATTTTATATAGTTCAGGGACTAAATTGAATATATACCAAAACTCCAGAGACTATATTGAACACATTAAAACTTCAAGGACCACATTACACATTGGGCCAAGGTTCAAAGACCATTTGTGTCATTTTATTATATACCGAAAAATTTTGGAAAAAGGGAAAAGATTTTGACAATTTTTGTGTGTGTAGTATGTGAATCCATAACATTTTTTCCCAATTTAAAGACATTCTTTCAATAGCATTGTCGAGCAATTTTATCCAAAATACAGGTTGAACCCACCGAGATGAAAATACTCATACAATTACTGGCTTACATAATTTTGGGACGAGTGTTAATTTCTTTATGACCCATCGCCACGCAAGTATGTATATATTTGCCGCCTCGTGCTAATCTTGTGTTTAAAAATTTGGTAAACACATTCGACACGCACATGCACGCGGATTTACAAAACAACAAATCTTTTCCGTAAGCATTATCTCTAGAAGTGATACCATAGAACTTCAGTTAGCAAGGGATTGATCTTTCTCTTTGCAAGGAGCAATTTTTGTAAACTCTCTACTCATTTTGCTTCTGACCAGGATTTTATGCTTGTGTCATTCAGTACCATTAATTCTGTTCAACTTAAAATAATGTACCGGTTTATGGTAAATCTATCATAAGTGTACTAGTTTGAGGTTTTTGGTGGTCAAAATATTAGTTTGTTATAAAGTTGTCACAAGTGTACCAGTTTGGGACTTTTTGTGATCAAAAAATTAGTTTGTTGTAAATTTATCATAAGTGTACTAGTTTAGGGTTTTTCATGATATTAACCCCATTTTTAATGACTTTTACTATTGCAAATGAACAATTACAGAAAATTCTATCATTTTTTGTACCTCTTTCTGTAAGGCAGATTATAATAATATTGTTGCTCAGCTATAAAACATTTCTGATGTCATACACCAACGATAATTAGATTTCTCAAACTATTATCAAATTCATTTATTTTATGTTAATACACAATATAAATTAAGAATTCACCTTCGTCTTATTCAAAAGAGAAAGATTCATGTAAACTAGGATACAAATCAACGAATCATTTATAATAAAATATATATGTCAATTTACACGAATGTAAAAATCGAAACAGTGCAACTATTTTATATTATTATGAAGATTGAACTGGCATAAATAGAAAAGGAACAAAAGAACAACAAAAAAAGGGCTGAAGGGTTTTTACCAATGTGAAAGTCATCATGAGTGATTGAAGTCTTGACAATTAATTTGCCTCGTTTATCGCCAAACGCAGCATCAATTTTGTTAAGCGAAATTATTATTTACTCAATTACGACAAAC